CGTTTAGTTCAACCTTTCCTATTTCTGCCGCCAAGCAGTAATGTAAGCATTATTTCGTTCCGGTGTGAAGGGTAAGGATGCTGGAGAATATACAGGCACATGGGACTTGTTAACTTTCTCAGGCTGATGGGCGCAGTGACAGTACCCTTAAGATCTTTGCGATTAACGGCTCTGAGCGTCACTGCAACTTTTACGGAAAGACGAGTCGCTTACCACCAGATACCCGACATGTTCGACCCGACACTTGATATTATAAAAAAAAAAACATTCGAGGATTTAATTATTATGTATATTGTGCTACCTACGTACCGTACATGTATGTTTTGTTTTATTTTTCTAGTTGGTATATAATTAAGTTGTGGTACACACTGTTTTGGATCAATTGGTTCTACACGTAGAATCTTTAATGAGATATTAGCTCAAGCATGCTGGGCGCTGTTAGTGTTCGTGGCGTCTACAAACCGCTGTGGTATGCTGAACACTCTCGTTTGATTTTAATATTAGACTTTATTCCCGGAATATGAGTGTGCCGAGACGTTAGGAAAGCGCCATGAATGAACGTCCTTTTTTAAGTAGTCAATATGTATATTTTCTCGGATCTAAATTGCTTTGGATGGCGGAGAAATATTTTCTTAAAGCAAAAAGTAATGGTAACAATGGAGTATATATTATCACTGTATATTTATTATCACTGTTAATGGACGATAATTGTTATCAACCAATATTAGTAGGATTGTGATATTATTATTATAATTTCATTTGAGGTTTTTAAAATGACCTACTGAATCATTTTGTGTAGCGGCGATTAGCCATTAATGAGTGTATTGAGAAAATTATTGTTTTGCTTGAATAAGTCGTGTGTGCTTTTAAACGTGCAACAGTTATAAGTAAGACATTTGTAGAGTTGTATGAAGCTCCATATTAGTCTACACTATTTCACGATTGGACATAAATAGTTTTAATCTTCATTAAGCAAGGTTTGCCGCCACGCCTTGCAAGCAAATTGGCGTGGCCCTCAAATCGTTTTGCGGGATACTCCTGAGAGGCGATCTTGTACATATCCAAGGTGTTACGATAATTTAGAAAATCCGGATATCCTTGGAGTGATTGAATTATTTTGGTATAAAATAACAAACAAATTTTCAAGTACGCTCTCTCTTTTTATGTGTTAGTGACGTAACATCAAGATTAGACATGTGCGCCGACGTCTCATGGTTTTATGAATAGCGGCGGCGGCGTAATCGGCGTGGCATATAAAAATCGTTTTTCACGTGTTTAAAAAAAAAACTAAATTATTGTTAAGTCTTCGTGTCCATTTTCAACGTTTTGCCTACTAAAATTTATTAACTAAAAGAATGTTTGTAAGAAACAAACACTTTTAATTTAATTCGAATAGGTCGTGCGTAGACTTTACGTAATTCATTTGAATTGTACGAAAGTATTTAGTGGAAATCAATTCATAATTAACAAAAGCTGGTACTTCACTAAAATGACACAAATTTTCGCCACATTGATTTTACGCCGATGAGTTCATCGGCGGCGGCGACACGGCGCACATGTCTAGTCAAGACTGACATTCACCATTGTGTGTCTCACTTTGTACGTAATATTAATATTTAAAATTACAAATGGTTTTATAGAGAGGTATCTCATGTATGACTCGGGGACAATTTGGAGAAAGTACGTGACGTAAACACTTCACACACGTGACAACATTGGATTTCAATTTCCTCTGCTTAATTAGACAAAGTATCATGTTACTTGTAAAAGTAATAGATAATTTGCACTTCAAGACTCGCATTTATTTGCAATGAATGCTTATATTGTTTGTCCGGTATTCCGACTTTTACGTCAAAAATGTCTGATGAAAAGTAATCCGACTTGCAATCATTATCATATCAACATATTATTGACATCAGCTAGCACGACCAACACGGCAAAAGTCGGTGAAAAAAGAAGAAAATAAAAAATTCCGTCTACTGCTGATGTTGATGACAAAAGATCATTCTCGGTCAATGCCATTAAGTTGTCGCTCCTTTCGTTTTGCGTATCATTGGAAGTTAAGTAACCCGAGTTTTTAATTATATTTAGGTATTGACATGTAGCGTTTATCCCTTGTTGGAAGTTGAAAAGTTCCTTTGTCTATGCATAATTTTGTTTCGACGAAAATAAAAATAAAAGACCTTTCAAACTTACCTACCTAACGGCTGTATCCACCATGTATACACGTATACATTCTTAAGATATATCGTGTACAAAGTGGATCATATTCATTCGTCCGCGCTTACTCTAAACGATTCCTACAACTCTAGTATTAGTTCAGTAAACAGTGTTTATTGTAGCGAAAATTATATAATCAGAATTACATTTGTCTAAAATACCAAAATCTTCTTTGATGAGAGACCGAGAAAATATTGACAAATCAGTTTCCATTTATGTTTTATGATGATTTTTGATTATTGAGATACGAGTAGGTTTTCAAGGAACGTACGAATGTTATACCTGGAGAGAACCTAAACACGATACTAAATATAGGTAATTACAATGTCATGTATTAAAACATCTTTGTTGCATTCTTCTGCAACCTATTTCCAAAATTGTTTTGAAAGAAGGTTATACTTAAATTTTTTAAACAGTGCATTTATTTTTTTGAACTATTTTAAGCTTTTTTAACGGTTCTCGTGTTTTTAAATCGATTATTCAGAGGTAGAAGGGTGGGAATCCTTAATTTTGGTGAACGAATTCGTTTTAAGAATATCCAAACAGAGGCGCGCTCATCGCAGGAAGCGATCTCTCATTACGTTTTTTATGGTTTGTTCGTTGCTCCCGCCGGTCCTCGTACATGGTTGTGTTGCGCCGATGTATACCGAAGCTCATTCGTTTTTTTTATAATGATCTTGTGTTGGCCATACCCGTTATCTATTGCGGCTGCAACTTAATATTTATGGGAATGATCACGTGAAGAATACATAATCAGTTAGCCTTTGACAGTGATACTGTCGGCATTCTGTTAATGCTTACAAAACGATTCCTCAGAGATAATGTAACAATAACAAACATCTCCTGTTTAAGCTCTCGCTGTAACTGAGAGCAACAGGTGCATTTCGCTTTAACTATATTATTATCGCGTTGGTGAGGTTTTAATCATGGTTTGTTTTGAATTCATACGTTTTGTTTAAAGTGCTTGTGTTTTTTAGTTCTGTTTAACGGATTTAAACCATCACACAATTGGAATTATTTGAAAATATTGTCGTGATTATTATTAACACTGAATGCATAAATGTTATGAATCAAGACTGGTCCCCAATGTTTCCATAGACAAAGCACCCAATGACGCAACTGGACAATGTTAATTAACTTCCGGTTTTGATATTTGTCTGTTCGGTCACTCAGCATTGTGGTTGACCACTTACACGAAATGCTCTAAACACAACTCAAACACAATGACGGTAATGCACATTTTTTAGTAAAAGGGTCATTAGGGACCTGTGTAGCTGTCGCGGCAGTAATTGCATGCGAAGACAAAGAAGCTTAAAGTAGTCATTTCAAATGTATAGTCGTTAGATAAAATTACTCATCCTTCCATTCTGCTCTTGTTTGTAAAATAATACCGCTATTAATAACATTTAGTTATCAATACTCAGAAGTATGCTAACCTCGTTATAAACATAGGGGAGCCAAATATGTCATTGTTTCCATTTTTGAATAGTGCAACATTGGTGTTACCATGATTATAGGTTAGTTCTGAACCATTCGCTTGACCGAGAACAGACGGTCGTTGACACATATTCCTATTTTTTTTTAAATGTTGAATGCTGTCCAACTGTGTACGTACGACTGAACTGAATTACACTAACGCGACTTCTATTGGTTGTTATTTTAAAAGACTGATTTTTGCTAATGTTATTACTGAATTATACAAAGTAACGTACTTTTACATTCGATTCTATGAATGCAAGAGCAGAGTTCCTACAAATAACATGATATTGGTCATGCGGGTGATGACCGACAAAGCTATGCATGCGACCCTAACGCAATTCTGCGTCCTATTCCAGGACTGTAGTTAAAAAAAAAGATTGTACACCCTTCGTCACACACAGAAATATAGCTTATACGTACCTTTCTTCGTGTGTTAAGTTATAACTTTCGTGTATGACGAGTGATAGTTTTATGGTATTTAAGTAGCGGAGAAAACGCGTGGTGTATTTGACTACCCTACACAACTTATTGACTCGGGCATAATCATCGTTTTAATTTAGAATTTGGCTGCAGTTTTAGTAAATGAGATCATTAGAATCGTATAGTGTTGGTACACTAGATATGCGCGGAGTTAATGCTTTGTTTGAAGTATTAAAAATGATTCATAATACCTATATCGACCAAAGCAGCCGACACAATCGTCAGCTGCGATAAAATTTATCTTGGGTTCCAGGTAGTTTGCCTTTGTTTACAAGTTTTTTTAGTCAGTCTCTACATTATTTATAGTATTTAAACAAATCATACCTAATTAAGTAAGAATATGATATTCCTAGTTGCTTTCCGGCTCTTTAGACGAGACCTGCATTCGGCATTGATGTTTAATTATTTCATATATTTATGTAGTTAGAGTTTCAAAGTTACAATGTTTAGGTTCCGTACATGCTTCAAACAGGTTTTAACGTGTTTAGAATCTATAACATATACATATAAACATTCCGCTAAATATTTTAATATTTCTGACGTCTTGAGAAGGTGTATTATCACATGCTTATATTTTCGAAACAACAGGTGTAGGTATCAATCGGCGAAGATTAGAGATAGTCGGAACGTTGACTTTGGTACAAGGCTGACTTTGTTACTAATCTCTGTATTTCAGACAAATCGTTGTACTCAAGGAAAAAGTTTAAAAACAAGTTAAGACTCGAACGAATATCGACACAAGATGTATCACGAACCAGTATTTAACACTACGTCTGCCATCGCACGCTCACTTTTGTTTGTTGAATTGAAATGTGTTGTACCTGGTCGGACGGGACGGTGCAGTTGACGGTGGTGTATCGGGGGTGGACATCTGGGTAGCACCAGCAGAACTCCAGATCACAGATGGGTTCACTAGTCACTGAGTAAATGTACGCGAGAAGTATGTAAAAGGTGAGGCGCGACATGATGCCGCGCTCAGCGCGACTGACCGCGCGCGTCGTGCCTCATCAACGGAGTGAGCACGACTGCCGAACTGCTGGCTTCGGAGATCGCTGCCGCCGGTGTCTCTCGACTCGCGCTAGGGATGCCATTTATTGACGATCCATCCAATTATCGACATCGATAACGTGGTATCATTAGCACTATACGCATTAATTCTTAATGATAGCGTTCAATGTTACTCGTTTATACTGTTAGTCACACCCGGTTAAAAGGATTTTGATTTAATTAGTTTTTTTTATTTCTTCCGAAGGTATTCCAAACCTAATTTTTGGTTTTAAAGCATATAACTTTCACAGAAACATAAGTCGTAAAGTACTATAATACTTTGTAATTAAGCATTATTTAAAAATATGCGCAACATGATGTTCACAAAAAATAGCATAAAAAATCCGTAATTACTATGCAACTTTTGGAAACGGAATCTAAATAATTTATTATTTTATTTGGCTTATTTTCAATATTTCTCGCTTTTGTTTAACTTTCATAACACTATCCATCTCAACTGTATACATTGTGATGTATAGAAAACATCAAATAATTCTGTCGACTAACATAGACCGACGAAGTCGCAGCCGTAATCCCACAGATACAGAGGTCGGATACTGCGTCCACACAGCAGGCAATATGTCAGCTCTGTGAGCAACAGAACAAAATGCGTTTTATGTCACAAGATACACACACGCTTTGTCCCGACTTGATGCGATAGTAATATCGCAACATGTATTCTGAGAAAATGTATCTATCGCTTCTTTACATAATATTATGTGACAAAATGGTAATTATATTATTACATTATGGGCATTTGTGTACACTTGTGCCTTGTATAAAACAATAAGTAAACGATTTATTTTGTATATGTGTTATTTTTTCTCATCTATATTTTATAAAGATCAAAATGCTGCGAAATTTAGTGTCACCTATGGTTACCTATGGTCACCTATATTACGTCAAAATGATAACAATGCAGCAAAATATGTATGTTTTAATAATTCCTGGAAAAGTAGAATTTTGAACACAATAATGACCATACTAGACTTGCTTCTAATGAATTTTATGAATAACGAAGGATGAGAAAGAGTTTTTGATTATCCTAAATGATAAATAATTGTTTTGCTCTTTAGTTGAGTTAAAACAATGCCTAAGTCGTACATAGGGCGCACTATGTTTCCGGAACTGGCCCCCAACATAAACAATATTTAAATAGTAATTATAACATTTGAAAATAGAACTCTTTGGCTGTAGAATACTGTTTGTTTCATCTGACTGTCGCTTGTTTTTACATTGTGGCGTCATTTTAGAAATTAGACAACCAATTTCATCAACATCACCATGGATTTAACTTGTGAAAATTTTCGAAGTATGATTTTCTACGACTGTAAGTGTAATTTACCAGCTCAGCGGAGCTTCGCTCGGCTTCAAACTGCTTTTGGCAATGAAGCACCATGCAAGACGACTATTTATAGCTGGTTTGCAGAATTCAAACGGTCGTGTGAATCTCAGTGACGAAATTCGTGATGGTCGCCCGTCCACTGCTGTGAACAACAAAAACATCGATGCTGTGCGCCGTATGATCAAAACAGACAGGCATATGACATACCATGAGATTCGAGCATCTTTAGGCATAGGCATGAGTCAAACACAATCAATACTACACAAACATTTGGATGTGAAAAAGCTGTGCTCTCGGTGGATCCCACACAATTTGACTGAGGCTCAAAAAACGGATCGCGTCACTTGGTGCAATGCAAAAATTTGGTGTGGGACACAGTAACAGGTGACGTAACATGGATTTATAGTTACGATCCTAAAACAAATCAGCAATCGAGCGTATGGGTCTTCCAGATGAGCCGAAACCAACCAAGGTGGCGCGCGTGCCAAGTGCCTCTAAACGAATGATTTCTTCTTTTTTTAATAAAACTAAACACGTGGCTACTGTTGCTTTGGAGAATCGTTGTACTGTGAATAGTGATTGGTACACGACTATTTGTTTACCGGAAGTTATTGACAAACTCCGTAAAAATAACCGTAAAAGCCGTATCATCTTGCACCACGATAATGCCAGTTCTCGTTGACCTTATGAGCCATCGCGCGTACAGTCCCGACCTGGCTCCTTGTGACTTTTATTTATTTCCAAAAATTAAGAACCAGTTACGCGGTCTACGATTTTCATCACCTGAAGAGGCTGTCGAAGAGTATGAAAAATATGTTTCAGAGATTATCACGGAGGAGTGGCATAAATGTTTTCAAAATTGGTTCATTCGTATGAAAAAGTGCATTAACGCTAACGGAGAATATTTTGAGAAACAATTAATTCATTTCTGACCATTTATAGTATTTTTTCTTATTAATTCCGGAAACTTTGCGCCACACGTATAATTTAAAATCAACTGATGCTATTCCAGTCATCCTTCAGTCGCGACGATATTTTTTGGCTGCTTTTCCTAGAATATTTACATTGTATTAAATAATACAATTTCTTTTTCTTTATAGGTGTGTGTCGACTGAGAGGCAATTTCTATCGGATTTCGTGGCGGGTGCCGAAAGCACTGCTGGAGGACGACTAGCACGATGGCTGGCTCCCACATCACGCGTGGAGCCGACCAACTGTGAACTGAAAGCCCCTGTAACACCTGCCCGACCAGCTGTGAAGATGACTCTACCCATCCTCGTGCGAGATCAATATGGGGAAAACGTTACTTCGCCTGCTCTCAGAGTTGAGGTAAATGATAAGTGACCACTTTTATTCCTTTAGACTGTGGCGCTAGTTTACTTTAGCATTAAAGTTCGCCAAACTTATTCAAGCTTTAAACTTTGTATAATTTCCATATGGAAACAGCTGAAGTCACCCAAAAGATATTAGAAAAAATGGGCAGCAAAATAAAATTGGTATACATTGTTTCAGAAATTAACTTACACTTTTGTTATGTCCGATTAATATATACATACAATGCTGGATGCTTTTTTCTATGTCATGGTGTACTGGTATATCAATGATTTACTCAAGAGATGTAATTCGTAGTTGCAACACACACACCACGTACAAATAGTTTATGAGTACGCTTTTTATAGAATATAAACGATCTTTACGTGTAATTGGCGAAATTGATGATCATTGACATACGAAGGCTTCGCGGCAAAACGAGATATCTAACTAACTATAGTGTACTTTTCGTGTTCTTTTCAATGGTGGAATCCAATAAACAGATTTATGAGTGTAACACAAAAATGGGTTTTGTTAAAAACCCGGTATTTTCACATCTTACGTGAAATTTTACAAAATAAAGCCTATAGGGCGAGTTGTCTGCAAATTTTTTTTTTAATGTAATAAGCCAATATCATTATTTATACCAGCCCGTTGCACCAAGTACCAAGTAGATCATTATTTATTGGATTTTAAGTGTGGTGTGTTTTCAATCCTTTTGATCTTTATACTATGAGGCAAAATCGGCTATTCATGTTAAATGGGTTTTAGCTTTAAGCGTCTCAACGAATTTTTTTAACAAAAATCAGATAATAGCAAATACTGGGTTTTACTTAATAAAATGTACAATATGAATCCTATTAAGTTGTGTGAATGGGTTTAGTTTTCCTAACGTTTTTGTAAAATAAATAACTTTTGTATAATTCGTATTAGGGTAAAATTCGATGTGTCTTTGGGTAATTTTCAGGTTAATTTTCGCTACCGCATTTCGGTGGCAATTATTATCATTTAAGTATTCGAGAATATTATCGTGAAATTTTAAATAATATTTCAGGAAACTACACTCGAATATTAAGTTTTTTTATATAATATCAAGTGACGGGACGAACATGTCGTGCGCCTGATGCTAAGCTACATGCCTGTCCATAACAGTTGCAGTGCCAATCAAAGTTTTAAATCGCAAAGATCTGAGGGGCACTGCCACTACGCCCATCACCCTGAGACACAAGTTGACAAGTCTCATGTGCCTGTAATTTCACCAGCACCGTCACCGTTCAAAACCGGTACCAATGAAATAGGTAAGGTGGCAATATTTCCGTGGACGAACTCTTTTACAAGTAGCTCTACTGCTACTAAAAAGTAATATTGCACGATAATATTCTAGAATATTTAAATAATAAAACTTACCACCGAAACTAGTTACAAAACTACTAATAATATACTTATACTAATAGTAATACAAATATAAAGGTAATACTTATACTATTCGTTCATTATGTTAGGTATCTAATAATTATATCTAATGTTTGTTATGCTGAAGGTTTATTATACACATTTAAATTTAGTCTTTTGTTGTTATACCGAGTGAAAATAGATTATTTGTTGTTATATCTGTTATTACATTACGCACTCGAGTTTGGTGTAATTTGTGGTTGTCTATGTGTGTATTCATGGCACCCACGATACAGGATGTTTCTAGTGCGGGGCTATGAGTGTGGACAAAAAAACTTAGTTTTAACTCGCCTCTTTTTGCGCCTATTTTTTTTAAAAGAGTGTCAAATTTGAAATGTTCGAAGTACATGTACTCTTGATATAGAATCAGTACCCATTCAAGGAAGTCAATATACTAGACTGCTATACGGAATTAATTAACGTAATTAAATGAGGCTATTACCGAATTGCTAAAGTAACATTTTTAGTGTCTAGTTATAGTGTAAAAATGTTAGTCATGTAATTTTCAATATCACACGGTCGGAACCTTGGCCTTATGTGAATGAAGTTATTACTACAATGTTCATTGTTTAAATGAATGTATCACGAGAAGTTAGATCACGATACCACACACGTCCCGAGGTGATAGGACTCGTGTTAAATTACGGCTTGCAGATGACTGACGTAGATGTCGTCTGTCGTTTTATTAAACTATAGTTCTTAATTTGTTTTCAAGATGTTTCATGTTTTAAATGAAAGGATCACACGGAAAAACAGATTTGTGATGCAGCACAATTTGTCACTTTACTCATCCTGATTAGGAGATGACTTTGATATTTCAACTTGTCTCAGGTTGACGGGTACAGTGGCAGTGTCCATCAGATCTTTGCGATTTAAAGCTCTGAGTGACACTGCAACTGTTATGGACAGGCGTGACGCTTACCACCAGGGGCACGGTTTATTCATCCCGTTACTTAGTAACATAAAAAAAAAGTGAAAAATGGTTATCGCTGCCTATATCAAGTTGTGGTAAATAAGTGTAAGTCTTAAGTGCCTGTCATTCTGCTAGTTACCCTATACCCGGTAATATTTCGTAGTAGAAATAGGTAGAGCGATGGTATATCTACAGAAAATCCTACCACCACTAAATCCCGTTACGGGCAGCACCGGACCCACACCTGTTGCATTCCCTCAGGTGTCATTAGTCATCTGATGGATGATTGACTTGGTTTGGTTTTACTAGGTGGTGGTCCAAAGACTGGAAGAAGCTGGGTCGCGACAAAGCCGAGCGTCTCTTGCGGATGCGCGACGTGGCAGCATCCCTGATATGCCTTACCATCCCACTATGCGCGATACAATGTGCTTCCACGCTATCACCATGATGAAGGTTAGTATAAATGTATTAATTACTGTTCATGGATGGTTACAGGGTTACGTCTTGGTTTAGTAGTCGTTCTAGTCACCGTTCCTCTCACCCTTGATTTTGTGGCGCATTCAACTTAAAGGGCGCTTCGTATTATTCATTTAATATAACAATTTGAACACATAATTATATGTAGAGCAGAGAACAAAAAAGTAACGCGAATGGACATTCTCCCTCCCTTGATTTAGATACCGCACCACGCCCCGCACATTGCCGATCACATTGATTGAACGACAACAAGGCTGTCGGCGAGCTGTTTTCGCGCTAAGACGGCATTGATATTTGAATATAGCTTTCGTTCTTTGTATATTACTTATTTATATTTTATTAAGAAACTTGTACGTTAATATATAACATCATTGTACGTTACTATATAATGCCCGTGAATTGTGCTGTGTACGACTGTTTATCATCATCTAAACAGGATAAAGAGAGGAGTTTCTATCATTTTCCGAAAGATGAAAAATACTGATGTCTGTGATTCACTCAGTTATTGTTTTCTTCATTCATTTAGTGCAGAGTCATTTAAAATAAATATTACTTAGTGAATATACCTGATTATTAAGTAATGATAAACTTGGACACGTAATTTCAAATACCTTGGTTGCCTTATTTAAAAGTACCTGTTCAAAATACAACATTTTAAGTACTTTTAATATATTTTTAATATAAATCTTCAATATTATTCCAGTTAGTGAATTAATGAAAAATATACTACTATAACAATATAAATACGTAATGAACATGTGTAATTATTAGGATTCTATTACTAGAATTAGAGATAACAGATTAGCTTAAGAATTTTCGCCACCAATGTAATTGTAGGAGAAAGTGAGGGATAACTCTGCCACTTCACGCACACATTTGCGCGTGTGCAGATAGCGTCTTGCCGTGTTGTAGTAGTAGTAGGCAAATAACTTAGATCGTTGTATGGAGTGTCCGGGATGTGACTAGAGTAACCAGAAGAAACTACACACATCGGCACATTTAGGGGAACACTATTGAAATCCCCAAAAATGCAATGTTTTTTACAAAGTTTGGCTCATTATTTTACTTTTTCATTTTAGGTCTAATTTGAACATAAAAAATAGTCGATTGTCAGTTGTTTCATTAATTTGTTTTAATTTCCTACTAATACAGATTTTGAGTCCTTGTAAATTATGTGAGCTTTAGTTGAATTTTTATTTATTTGTTTCACTTTCTTTTAGTCAGTGTTAAATTGTTACAGTTTTTTGATTTCAACCCTTTTTTGTTTTTGCTTTTCAGCCTTTTTTGTTTTTTGCTTTGTCACAAAATCTCAAAAAACTATGTTAACATAATTGCTACTTTATGTTATATTCTTTATATATATATATAGAATAATACGTTGCTATTTTATATTCTCACTTCTTTTTTGTCTCGTTAAATACCGGTGTGTGTATTAATTCCTAGTTACGCCATTGCTGTTGAATAATATTAAGTTTTATTGAATATCATGATGTTTTTTTACTACTATGATATTAATTTATTTTTTGTGTAATTACTAGATTGTTATAATTATTAATATAAAGATCGAGCACAAAGGCAACTTCCTTTGACCTGTTAGGATTCGCTCCTGTATCAGTGCCAAACCAAGGCCACCGCGTGGTATTAATAATTATTTACGCGATAGTTTCAAGTTACTTAATACTTAAAAAACTTAACTTCCTTTTACAACTTCGCAATTTCTTTAATGTATATACATGTTTTATAAAATTTGTTTTAATTCCAGGCGTACCAAAACTATTCGTTCGAAGAGCTTCGTTTCGCAAGCGGACTATGGGGTGAATCTTGTCACGGTGCCAGTAGCCTTGTGTCGAGCGGTCGTGTACCAGCAGAGAGGCTTCCAGTACCTGCGCAACCAGATGGCTCTTACGTCGCCACTTGGACTCCTCGAGCTCCTGGAGCATATATCTTTAGATGTACTCTTGACGATCAGCCGGCTCCCCAGGTGAATTTGACTTCACTGGAACTTGACGGATAGCATGACCTAAAACATGTAGGATTCACAGTTCATATTAGGCGGGCTTCAGCACATCAACAACATATAATTTTTCAAAGTTCTTATATAGCTAAAGAAATATATTCGAAAAAATTGTTCACTAAAAAAAAAAATTTTAAATGATAGCTATGTGATAATAGTAATTGATGTTACAAATATTATTTTATTTACAGGAATTAACAATAGAAGTAGCGGAGCATGCAGAAGGACCATCAGACCGAGGAGTGCAAGCGGGAGGAGTGCTTCCCACTGCCGCACCGTCAAAGCTACGGCGGTTCGTAGGACGACACAGTGCAGGACTCCGCATCCGGGCCAGTCCTAGTCTGCAAGCTGAAGAGCTA